AAGTAGTTAACTCCTTTTACTTCAAAACAAATGCTTTGTCTTCTAACTTCTAATGTCACTCAGTGCCGCATTACTAAGAGGTCGTAACAGTTTGAAATATAAAAATTTCAGCATTAGTTCAGGACTAGAGGATTAATAATTAAAATAATAATAAAAAAAAAAACCTAAGGGGCAGGTGTTGTGGTGAAGCAAAACAACCACATCCCCTATCAGAATACCAGTTCAAGTCCTAATCACTTCACTTCTGTCTCAAGTTCTGTCAAGGCATATTAGAAGATAGCAAATGATATATCAAGTGCTTTGGGCCCTCTGACTTCAGCTCGGTCTAGCTGACTCTTGTTTGTGTTGGGGGAGTGAACCAGTAGAGGAAAGAAATCTGTATCATCCGCACCTCTATTTCAGTCTCTATACCTCTAGTTACTGCTATCTCATATAAGGTGAACATTTATAAATTGTCTAAAAAAAAAAAGAAAAAGAAAAGAAAAAACTGAGTTTGCATACATTGAAAAAATTAACATTTTCCTTAGGGATCCTCTACCTGAACATGTGATTCTAACGAATTTATTATTGTAATTAGTGATAAAGCTCTCCTTGCTCGGCTCACAGATTTTTGTTTTCACTAAACTTTGAGTGAAACACTCATTTGCAAACCGTCCAGGAAGGATTTAGATATTGAACATGGTGAACACCTGTAGTAGCTGAACAACTGAGACACTATGCCCTCTGGTGGATTGTTGCAGGACGAGTGTTACTGAAACCTGTAAAAGCTTCCTGCTTCAAACTCTTCCTCTATTGCCTTCTTGTCTGCTGAAAATTAGCAGCTGTCCCAGTAAAGGCATTTGTCCCCACCCACTCAACAGTGATCTGGACCAAGCTTTCCTTTGATAAAAGCTAAAAATTGTTGACTTCTAATCAGCCCTTTACAGCTAAAGAATGAAATATATCATTATTAGGTATTGTGATTTTATAAAAATAACAAAAATTAATAAAATAAAGCTTAGAAACATAGAGTGATAAAAGATGTGAAGGTAGCCAGGAACTTCATACACTGGAAATACAACCAGAAATATCTAGACAAAGAAAGAGGGAAAGAATTGGGATTTAAAAATGAAAACAGGTGGGGTTCCATAGGAAACTAAATAGCTGATTATTTCTTCTGAGCCAGTGGAGCCTTTGTAAACCATGACTTGCATTTCCTTTTTCCTTAGGGTGTTGGGAAATAATTGTAAAAAACTGAACCTCAATCCCTTAGCCTTTTCCATTTTGGTTAATTTATTCTTTTCCAATACAACTTCTACCAAATAGCCCTGGGGTTTTGGGAGGGTTTGTTGTTGTTGTTGTTGTTTTTTCCTTTGTTACAAATGTCTTGTGCACATAAAGAAGGCAAATAATAATAATAATAATTCCTGCTGAGATTTTCAAAAAGTACCATGCATCTGCTAAATGTTTTATACGCATGTGTGTGTTTTATGAGTTTATGAGTTTAACTGTAGGGGGTCATTGCAACAACTTATATATAGGTGGCATTCAAGAAACAAGCATACTCTTCTACTAGTCTTTATTCTTGATTCTAACTTAGGACTTTCTGATCTCCAAGGTTAGTTCACTGTCTACTACAGTGGTATTTAGGCTATTCTGCTTTTCTCAGACCTTCCAAAGCCTGCTTCTAAGCAAGTTTGGCCTTTTTTTCATTCCTATTTTAAGAATCATACACTACCTTGGAATCTCCATACCTAGCCTAGAAACTAAATGTTCCCTCTAAAAATGATGATCAGGAAAAGTCATGTGAAAGTGGATCTGACTCACCCTTTTTGCAGAATATAAGGGCACAAGCTGTAATTCCATTTCACTTTTTCCTAAATACCCCAAATGACAGCAGTGCATCATCTTCAGGTATCATTTAACATTAGTCATTCTCTCACGAAGGTTTAGACTCCTGAACACAATCCCAGCATCCAGTGAATCAATCTTTTCACAATGATAGGACTGCCATTCAACATTTATTTAGAACACAAAAGGACTTTTATTTATTTCCTAAATTTCATTTCCAATTTTACATTTGCCGAAAGGTAGAATACCCAAGGTAATTTTCAGTCACATCAGCTCCTCCAAATACATATTATTTGATATTTTACTGCTTGAGTAAATTATAATTTTCTAAGGATATCCAGATCAAAGAAGACAAAACTAAGACAATTGAGATAAAAGTGTAAGACATTGTTCTGTAGGAAATTGGTTGAACGTAACAAACATTCATTCTTCGGTGCAGTATCCATTTTTAAAAAGGAAACTCTAAAATTCCTAAAAACACAAGACAATATTGGTAATTTTGAATGAGTATACATTCATATATTTGTGTGAAATTTTGTGCCATTAAACAATATGGAAAATGTGATTTGTTATCACAGCCAATGAAAATACATTTCCATTTCTATGTAAGTCAAACATGTCCATTTCCCATTTTATTTTCTGCAAAGAAATCCTAGTTTAAAACTATGCTATAGGCAGCAGTCACTGAAAGGAGCTTAACAGTCTTAACTGCATTCCCCTGGGATGAATAATATACCTTGCATAACCATGTGCAATGTTGAATGATGATTCTAGATGTCTTATAACTATAAGAGTTTGCAAGCTTCTACTTCATACAGTATGCCCCCAAATCCAGTCAATTCAGCCAAATAATCAAGTATTAATTTAGGCAGATAATTTACAAAATGGGAAACACATTTGGCTAAGTTGACTGTTTTGTTCATATGAGGACATCATCATTGGAGGTGTCCTATGAAGAAATCATTAGCAAGAGTTTGCTTGTCTTAATTAATTTTTCCCGTTAGATTCTGACAAGTTGACTTACTTGCCTCATAAGCCCAAAGAAAACAAAGCTGCCTAAATAGAAGGCAAACATATAAATAACATAAAAACGAATACCATGCTCTATGCACATTCCTCCATGGGAGAAAAATCACAAAAACAAAAAAAAGAAAGAAAGAAAGAAAAAGAAAAGAAATTGGGGATCCAGCAAGAAACATAGGATTATCAAATGCCTAAAAATTTTCTTATTCTGGTGACAGGTATAAAGGCTGCATAAACACTCCTCACTTTTAATTTTTACTGAGCTTACATGTGAACCTTTGAATAGTACATTTTCAAAGTCACTACCTTAGAGTGGAGGTCTGCGCAGTAGGCAAGCAGTGTAGTTCAGCTCAATACATGTATTGTGTGACAGCCTAGACTAGGGAGCATCAAGAAGGGAGTGAATCCATTTTGCAAAGGCAACTTAGATCTGCAAACAAAAAGTATGCACTGCAGACAGCCCTCTGAGAAGAGGAGACTGAATCTTCTTTGGCATATTAAATGGTCCACATACACTTTTAGTGTGTGTGTGTGTGCAGATGGTCACTTCAAACTAATGCTTTTTATTAAAATACTGCATTTTTAAAAACCATTTAGTATGTGATTTTTACCCTGAATTGGGGACTCTCAAGTGAACTTGAGATATCAGCTAAGTATTAGTAAAAATTTATGAACATTGGTAAATTTAAAGCATTCCAGATATTATACTCATGTCAAATCAGTGGCAAATATTCAAGGTTAAATGTTAGGCCCAGGTTCTGATTGCTTAGTAAGTCTGGGGCTTGGTTCTGTATACTGTGGAGAAAACAGTTCAATTTTGTCTTTTATAAAGTTCATGTGTGCCATTTTTAGTAATCTTTGTTACCGCTCAAACTTTAATGCACAGAAAAGAGGTCAGATTTTCCTCCTTCTTTGTTATAATTGCTCGTGCTCTTATTGCATCTAGAAGATTTCTGGAGAAGGTAGCTCGTTCTCTTGGTTACTTTCCATGTTAGCACACAAATGAATCACAAATGGGAAGGAGAGTGCAAATGACTATCAGGAAAAAATTCTCATGCATTTCACAATTTTTTTACAAGTCAAAATATACATCCTCCAATTGCCCTGCTCCATTCTTTAATTGCATACGTACCGTTCCTGTTTATTTAGTCTCCTTCACATACCATTTAACGAGATAAGGAATAAAGATACGCTTCCAGTGAAGAAAAGTATACGCCTAACAATAATCAGTCTTGCTGATTGCATTAATAAGAAATATAGCAGCAGTTTGGGCCAAGCCATCCACTATACCCTCTATTTATGGGGATCTAAAAATACAAACTGACAGCTACATGAAATTGGGATTAAAAAACAAAGCAATCTGCAGACTTTGGCACTAGCACACATAATGTTTTCTAGTTGTTAGGGCTGCAGTATGACAATTGCTAAACAGAAATTTCAAAATTATGTATCTGCAGAAAACAAACCATTATAACCGTTCAGTCTCAGTTGAACACTCACCAGGTCCCATCCCCACCCTCCCACCCCTATAGAGCTGAATTATAATAAAAATAGAGATCTTAGCATTAGAATTTTGTTGTTAACTCTTCAAGGCTCCTCTGTGCCATCCAAGCCACAAATAGGGTTTGAAGCACCAAATCCACAAGTTTCTCCAACCAAGTTTAAAGAAACAAAAACTGAAGACTGGAAGATGTCAAAGTAACTTCTTAAATTAAGCTGTTACACGAAGTTCTCCCCAAAACACAAGGGTATTAAGCGTCTACTTCAAGCATTGCCCTGCCAGGCTATATGCAGATTTGTCTCGGGCTTCAGAGAACAGCTACACGTACCACCGATCCTAGAGGGCATCGTCCAGGATACCAAAATCAGAGCAGGGACCCTTTTTCCATCACCAATATTTAAAAGTTGCAACCCCCTCTGTGATTGGCTGCCGCAAGATCTGGGCTGAGTCTGGGGTTTCAGAAGAGAAAGTGAGCCTCTGGCTCAGCAGGAAAGCTTCACACTTCCTTTGAAAAGTTCTTATTGGAGGTCTGGGGCAGGGCTGTATTCTGGCTTCTCAGGATCCATTGCCCCTACCCAGGAGAGGGCGCCTTGCTCCGACCCAGTAACAGGGAAAGAAGATTCGACCTACCTGAGGAACCAGACCCAATTTGGTTCCCATGGGTCACTTAGGCGACCCTACTGCCATAGGCAAGTCAGCCTGCACACTTAAAGCGTACCAGTTTTTGGAACGCTTGTTTGAAGTCCTCATTAGACATAGTATAGATGATAGGATTGATGAGCGAGTTGACATAACCCAGCCACGTGAAGAAGTCAAAGATGGCCTTGTGGAACCAGCAGGCATCCTGGCAAATCGGTATCACCAGGGAGATGATGAAGAAGGGTAGCCAACAGACAATAAACACTCCCAAAATGATCCCTAAGGTCTTGGTGGCTTTGCGCTCCCTAGCGGCCATGAGTTTCTTCTTTTCCAGCAGGGCGTCGGAGACGCGCACTTTGACTTGGTTCACGTACACTGGGGATCCGGATTCGCTGGGCACGTCGGGAACCCGCGAGTTAATTGAGGTGACCGAGGACGTGGACCCAGGGGAGTCGGTTATCAGCTGGGCTCGGGTTAGCCGCTTGCCCGTCCTGTTAGGCGTTTGTTTCAAAATCCGGGAGCGGGCTTCCAGATAGATGCGACCGTAGAGGGCGATGAGGAGCAGGCTGGGTAAATAGAACGCGCCCACCGTGGAGTAGACAGTATACAGGACGTGATCGGTATTCACTAGGCACTCAGATACCTCTTCCTCGGCCTTGGCCTGACGCCAAAAGAAGGGCGGCAGCGAGATACAGATGGAGAACACCCACACCAGCGCAATCATGATTGCCGCCCTTTTGGGAGTCCGTTTAGCCGAGTACTCCACGGCGTCCGTGATGGCCCAGTATCGGTCGAGGGCGATGACACACAGGTGCATTATGGAAGCGGTGCAACAGGTGATATCCGAAGACAGCCAGAGGTCGCAGACCACCTGGCCCAGTGTCCAGCGCCCGGTGACCGTGTACATGGTGCTGATGGGCATCACCAGGATGGACACGAGCAAGTCGGTGACCGCCAGGGAGGCAATCAGGTAATTCGCCGGGGTGTGCAGCTTCCGCGTCCGGTACACGGTGGCGAACACAAAGGCATTGGAGAGCGTGGTGGCCAAGGTGAAGAGCGTCAGCAGCAGTACCAGCAGTACTTTCCAGGGCAGGGCGATGGAGTCTTGGTAGATGTAACCTTCGGCGCTGCAGTTGTGTGAGTGGCCCAAGGAGAGGTTGGCTGGAAGGACCGCGGTCTGCGAACCCGCGAGCAGTGAGGCGCACGGAGCGCCGGGTTCCTCCATGGCTCTTTTGCCCCAGCTCCGGAGCGCAGCTATTAGGCATGGAGCGGACCACGAATAGAGCAGAAGGCGGAAGGACCATGAAGACTACAGGTTTGTCTGTGCTAGTCAGTTCTGTGGGTTCTCCAATTTACTCCTCCGCCCCAGGTTCCCACCTAAACCGCAGGTCACAGGCGCGGCAGGCAAAGGAGGGCGCGTCTGCTGCACTTGCGGTGCGCCTGGCGCTGCCGCCGCGTCTCTGCTTGCTCAGTTCCACGCCCCGTCCAGGCCGTGGGTTGCTAAGGACTGGCCCACTCAGGCACAGCTCCTGTCTGGCCCCAGCTCCTCCACTCTGGAGGCGTCCAAGAGAGGAGAACGAAGTACTGCTCCAAAGTGGAGTCTCTTAGCCAATTGCTCCGGGCTGAGCGTCTCCTAAATCGGACGCTCCTGGATCTGCAGACCCCACCCGCGGGAGTTGCCCAGAGATCCAGGGGGAAGACTGCAGGCCAGTGAGGAGTCCTGGTCTAGCATTCCCGCCTCCTCCCCTCCCGCCCCAAGCTGGGGCACTTTCCTGCGGCGACTGAGACCTCCAGAGCTGAGTGGGGTGTAGTCTGAGAGCCGCGCTGCGCTGTGTGCTGGAGCTGTGCCCTCCCTCTCTTTTCACGCGCTGGCCACTCGGACGAGCTGGCCCGCGCAGACCGAATCGTAAGAGGGAGGGATGGGAGGCTGGAGCTGCGGTTGGTCCCAACCTCGCCACTGTCCCAACCTCGACCCCACTGGCACCGCGGGAAGTCGTGCAGCTGGGAACGCAGTCTGGGACGACCTGGAGTCGCACGCCGGGAAGGGGCACTTATCTGAGGGCGCCGCAGCCTGCTAGGAGCGTGTGAGACGCGTGCAGACTGGCTGCTTTTATGGAGCCCAGATCAGGTCCGCAGGAGCAGCTCACGCTGCGCGGCTAGTGCGGACGCCTGTTCCCATCACCTTGCCTTTTTCTCTCTCCCTTGTTCCTCTCCTCCCCCCCCCCCAACCCCCCGGTCCCTCCCTGGCCAAGAAAGGATTCGCCGGGTCCTACCGCCTTCTCTCCCCTGCTCCTCCGCTAGAGCTCCTTCTCTGGACCCGAACCCCCTGAAGCAGCAGTTCTGGGTGCGAATGGGAATGAAACCTTGCTGTTCTTGTCTGCTCTGCCTGAGGACCTGGCTGGAGCTCACGCCCTTAGCCCAGGTGCGAAACACTGCATCGCCGTCCTAGTCTAGGCTTTTGCTCACCATCCACCACTTCCAGAAGCCAATGCCAGGTGGAGTAAGCCCCAGTGTCTTAGCTCTCCACTCCGGAATCTTATGCAGCTCTGAGGACCACACCCAGGTTAGAAGGAGGCGCCAGCAAGATCGCCTTAGAAGGAAGTGGCCAATATGTGTATCTACTTCAAATCATCCTTAACCCTAGGTTCAATTTAAAAATAATAATAATAATACTTCAATGTCCATTTTTAGAAACGTTTGCTTTGAATTCAGTCACACACACCCTTGTCTCCCCTCTCCTGCTTAACTGAAGGAATCGGGCTGGGGAGGGAGCTGTTTGCACAAACATCAAAATATCACAGAGCAGACTGTGTGCGAAAGCTAGCCATCTACTCCACCCTCCAGCTCCAGCCACTCAGCAGTTCAGTGGGAAGCAGTTCTCTGGAAAGCATGTTCCTTTCTCATAGCATGCAAAAAAGGAGTTTATCAGAATTAAAAATAATAATACTTGGACAAACGAGCACTGGTGCTGTCACCATAAGCATTGTCCTGTCCCTTCTTTGCTCTGTGTAATTGCACTAGGATGTCAGCCTTGGTCTGCAGCCAATGCCATCAGTACCTGCTCTCCGTTACTCTGGGCAGATACCCTGTTCTCAACTTCTCCTTCTACCCTAATAGAAATGAAAATTGCATCGTTGAAAGAGCAACAACCAAAAAGCACCTGGAATGGACAACATGGTCCTTACTATGCATTCCCAGGATCATTGCTTCTCAGTTGCATGGGTCTCATAAAAACTGCATTGTAATTGAATCTTTGCGATTAAATGCAGGAACACTGTACAGAGAATCAGTCTTGGAGCCAAGAAGGATGTTTTACCAGGTGATAGCTCAAACTGAAGTGCCTTTAATTGCTTAGTCTCTAAACCAGGCAGGCAAGGAAAAAGAAACTGACATTCTGGCTTGGCTCTATGCTGGGCATTTCTTTTTTAAGCTGGAAGGAATATGGAGACCAATCCACTCTGAAGACCCATGCCAGAATTTCAGTTTATGTTCTGAAGGGGCAGGTAGACTGAAACACACACACACACACACACACACACACACACACACACACACACACACCCCAGTAAATCATGACTGTGTGCTCATACAGCTTTAACTATTACCAAGAAAATTAATTACATTGGTGCCCTCTGAGTGAGAACACACCTTTAGCTAAGTAACAACTGGGTGACTGAGTGATGACATCCTCCGAACGCTGTCCGGGCCACAGCAGCCATTCCTAGGATGAAAGCACCAGCTCCTACTGTCCTTTAGCGCCGGACTGCTCAAGAAAGCCTCAGCTCTGCACAGCTTAAGGGATCCTGCCTTCCTCCCCGAACCCCTACCCGCAACCTGCAGGAACCCGCTTCTGGCGCCCCGCCAGACTTCTTTGTTTTGCAAACTGCGGCGCTCTCTACCTCACCGTGGGAGAGGAAAGGGAAGCCAAGCCCGCGAGCTTGAACCGCTAGGTGGGGGAGTTAGCCGGGCTGCAACCAAAACTTGAAGGCAGAGGTGCACAGAAACTTTCCCTGCCGACTTTGGGAAACTAGAAATAATTAGAGAGACTAGTGATGGAGTGGAAGACGGAGAGGAACGTTACCAGGAGCGGGAGGCCTTTCTTCTTTTATATTTCGGCTCCAGCAACACGCCAGAGAGAAAGCAGCTTCTTCCCGGTAGGGTTTGACTTCAGCTGCGTGGGGACCTGTGGCTTGTGCTGCCAGACTTCCGCTGTTTCTCATCTCATGGATTCTAAGCAGAACCTGCCATTTCGTGGCGGGAGGGTGGGTTGGGGAGTAGGGGGTGACTTTACACTCTCTGCTTAAGCGTTGTGGGAACGCACTCAGTCACGATTGTGGCAGGGTGCAGTGGAAAATCTCATTTCCTTAAGCCAGCTTTATATTACACTCATTCGTTTCACACTTTAAAACAGGACAGGTGCACGAGTGTGAAACACCTCCAAAGGCAGGGGATTCTTAAAATGACTGCCTGTATCGCCATGCAGAGGACAGCCCCTGAGTGCAGTCCACAGCGCGGACGCCATGGTCCACAGGCGTGCTGGGAAACACCTCCTTTCAAGTGTGCAGTAAATTCAGGGGTCACGTTTCAGTAAAAGGAGCAAGAAAGAAACCGGTCGGGAGTGGATCAGAGTGGGTGGAGATGTGGTGTACCAGATTGTAGTATTATAAGTGGCCACCACACACTAAAATCTGCACGTTAAAATGCACTCCTTATCAGTTCGACACGAGTGTATTTTCTGCAGCAATTGAGGAAAGGGTAATTCTGCAACTGCGGTGAAGTCTTATCTGACACCAAACCATATAGCCTGATGAGCTGGCTACCTAGGGAGCAGGCAAAAACTACTTCTCAGGAAACTCTTGTATCCTAGCAGAATGCGGTGATGGTGGCAGCTACAGCCGCTGATGCAACTGTTAAAAACATGCCCCCTACCCACTACTGGACGTTCAGAGCAGATAACTGACCAGACAGGGATGAAGGATCCCTCCCACCAACAACGCATCATGACAAGACACAACTCATGAGGCTTGTTGCAGCTCAATAGTCTTCCACTGGCCCTCCTCAGCTGCACCCATTGCTCCTGTCTGAAACATCTTTCTTTTCTCTCAGCATCTCATATTCTCGAAAGCACTTCTTGAAGGGAAGACCTGGTCCAGGAGAACAGAAACTTCTCTTGACTTTGTCTTTACCGAATGAATGAATGAACACCCATGTTCTTGCTCTTGTCACTTTGTTTCTTCACTCACTACCCCTTATCATTTGAAAAGCCTACAAGCAGCCCCTAGCCGCAAAATGTGGAGAACTAGCCAGTCACTGCTTTCAAGCCTGCTTCCTCTATTTCCTACTGTCTTAGATTCCCAACAGGAAAAAGTGTAGCAGGAGACTCCATCCTTGGATCCCATCTTGCTGAGTGGTGGGTTCCTGATGTCCCTGAAACTATTTCTTAACATGTTTATTGGTAGCAGTGAAAATACATGGTCAGCTGGTACCTTGAAAACCATACTTTGTGCCATACTTGATGTAATTTTATCTAAAATAATATAACTTTGCTACTCTAAAGAGATACTTGATGTCAATAGATTACTGTTGGTTCAAAGCCAGCCCAATCACAACTAGGAGAGCCAACTTCCAATTACTGTTGAAATTACTAGGCTAAGGAGCTGAGCACCCGGATCTTGGAAGGAAATTTCTAACTTAAAGTTATTGATGTAATGTAACTAGAGAATGCAAGGATGATGGGACAGTGATTTTTTCTGTTTGAGCAAAGAGCACTAATGGAAAATCTTTGGATGGAGAATTAGTGTAACTTTTTTAACTTGTCATTATCAATAAACAGCTTTAATCGTGATAAACTTCCTCTTAAAATATGGGATAAAAGGTTTTGAAAGTGGAATTGTCCAGAGCCTAAGGAAAGATGCAATAGAAATGCTTTGCTCTATAACTAAAAGTTTGTGTATACCTGCAGAGGAACAAAAGTTGCATCTCATGGTGCAATTTGTTGTGTTCTTAGAAGACATCAGGCATTTTCTCTTTACCTGCAACTCACTGATAATCAGAACTTTTTCCTACTGGGCACTAGGAACGAAACTACATTTCCCTCAAAGCTCTCATCTAATTCAATCAACTGGAATGTGCCCTTATCATTCTCATTTCTTAAATTACGAAGTTCATGTTTATAAATTTTAAGTAACTTTGCCAGCATCAGTAATGATAGAACTAATTTTCAAACCTAAGGGTTTTTAATTTCCCTGTCAACACTTGGCCATTCTATAATGAATCGGGTA